ACAGAGCAGGTCCCTGAACGGCCTTCTGTTGTTGTTGGGAGGGGGAGGGGTTTTGGGGTCAAGGCTTGCTTTCTTGCATAGGGAGGGGCTGGGGGGACCCTTGTCCTCCTCCTCTTCCTCCCAGAGGTGCAAGAATTCCAGCATGAGAGTGAGGGCAGGGAGGTGGGCTGCCTCAAGAACCGGAAAGGACTGCCCCCCCGGGGAGGAGGGAGAAGGCAGCCTCCCCCCCCCATGTCAGTCCCACTGCTGCAGTGTTTGTGGTGGCCCCAGTTCCCATGGCTGTGAAAGGACTCTATGGGGCGGGTGCCAGGCAGCGTCAGAGATGGCCTGGTGCTGCCCATTGGGGGAGAAGCCCCGACACCGCCCTGGGTGCCAGGAGCTGGGCTCTTCTGCCTCCTGCCATGACATGTGGGGCTGCCCCCCACTCCCGGCCCCTGGTAGGATATCATGGCTTTGGTTCCACTGGGCGCCCAGAAGGGCCTTGCCAGGAGGGTGGCTCCCGGTGTGCCCAGCCCACGCAGGGCTCCGGGCTCCACCCTTCCCTCTGGAGGGAGGAAGGCCAAAGTCCAGAGTCGGGGAAGGGCGAGCGGTCCTGCGCTTTCTTCCTCCTTCCCGTCCAGCCGCTCCCGCTCTGACGGAGGCGACAGGTGAGTGGGGAAAGGGCCGGCCGGCTCCAGGGAGGGTCTGCAGAGCAGGGGGGCTGTCCGTATCAGAGGGCCGGGGGCTGGGCTGCCCCCATGGGGAGAAGGGCTGTGCCATTGTGCAGGATCGGCCCTCACTCCCTTGGGGTGCCGTTCCATAGGTATTCCTTCCACCTACACTCTTGCAGACCCTATGCCTGGACATGGAAATGACCACCTGGCTGCCATTCCTGGAGGAGGGAGGGAGGGAGGGAGGGAGAGGGGGGGCAGTTGCTATGCCAGGCTTTCTTCAGGCTGGGGGGAAAGGGCGGCTGCCAGCCATGGGGTCCTTGAGGTTTCGGGGAGCCCCAGAGCTCCCCCATTGCCTGCCTCCCCAGATCAATTCACGTGCAGCCGTCCGGGGGCTTCAGGCGGGGGGGGCAGCCTTGGCCCTCGCCTTGGCCCTTTGCTCAGGACACTCCCAGCAAAGGTTCTGCTCTCCCTTTCCTGGTAACGAGGCGGCCGGATGGATCCCGATCAGGCCAAGCCGGCTCTGCTTTCCCGCTCCTGGCCGGTCCCAGTGCGGCAGGACTGTCCAGCGGGTGCCTTCTTGGTTCGGCCAGGGAGGCTGGTTTGATTGCTCTGCAAGGCGGAGGTTCCTTGAATCAGATGCCGCCTCCAGAGAAGCAGGGGAAGGAAGAAGTGGGAAACGTCCCACCCAGGGCCACCCAGTTTCCTGTCCGTGGGTGGGCAGCCTGATTCCCGCGAAGGAAGAGCACCTCTCGGGCCGACTCTCTTGGGGCTGGCCTTTTCGCTTTCCTTGACCGCTTGGCCTCCCTGTTGCTTGAGACGCCGAGACTTAGCGGAAGAGCAGGCGGTTGGGCTGACGACTGGGGTGTCGTGTTCTGAGTTTCCGCTTTCCTTGACCGCTTGGCCTCGCTGTTGCTTGAGACACCGAGACTTAGCGGAAGAGCAGGCGGTTGGGCTGAGGACTGTCATGTTCTGAGTTTCCAGTGGAATCCTCAGGTTCACACAGACACTTTGTGACGGGGGGGGGGCAGGGAAGAGGCAGGAAAGCCGCCCGTGTCCTGACTGATTAGGACGGGCCCATCATCTTCAGCAGTCTCGGGCCGGGTGCTCACGTGCCTGGTGGCCTCTTGAGCTCCCTTGGTCCTGCCTGACGTTACAGGAAGCCAGATTCCGGTTGAATATCAGGAAAAACGTCTTAACTGTTTGAGTAGTACGACGGTAGAACCCATGGCCTCGAGAGACAACCCCCTGGCTCATCATAGACAAGGCGTAGACAACCACCTGGTCTGATCTGCTTGGATTCCTGCCCTGAGCAGGGGGTTGGACTTGATGGCCTTAAGAGGCCCCTTCCAGCTCCATTATTGTAGGATTCTATGATTTGTCTTCGCACGGCATCCGGCAGGCCTGGTGTTGGGACGGAGAGCGCTTGGATGCCCTCGGGGGAATGACCTACCCTGGGCCAGGAGCTGGAGGGGACCTGTGCCCGTGTGGCTTCTGCAGGCCTCTTGGGCAACTTTCAGGGCCGTTGACCAGGGCATCCTTCTCAGAGGAGACCTGGAGGTACCTTGATTCAGTTTCTTCCTGGACATGCTACCTCAGAGGTAGCTGTAGGAGTCCTTGGTCACTGGCCTGTGGGGTCTCTCGGTGTTTTACCACTACTGTATTCCTGCCATGGGTCAGACGAGAAGACCCTTGCTTTCCGTTTCTTTGGTGATTTCCCCCTGCCCCGTGGTGTTTGATGCCGCAGTGGGCTACTGTAGCACGCTCTACGTGGGGCTGCCTTTGGAGAGTGTTTGGAGTCTCCAGCAGACAGGCTGTTGACAGGAGCCGTCTGTCATAGCAAGAAGAGAAGCCCACTGCGTCAGCCTTGGATTTCACTGGCCACTGTGGCGTCTGTTCCGCAGCACGGTGTGGGACCCGGAGCGTTCTGTCTGGCTTGGTCCCATGATTGGCCTATCTCTGAGCCTGCCGGGGCCTTCAGGTTCTCGGAGGGGGTCTTTCCTTCCGTCCCACCCCCTTCCCAGACGCCCTTGGTGAGGACAACCGAGAAGGGCCTTCTTAGCGGCCACTCCAAGGCTATGGAACTCCCTTTCCAAGTGGGCAGGTGCTTTTTTAAGCCCAGGAGGATTTTGGTGGTTGACAGGCTGGGAAGAGATCTAAGTGAACCTGTGCTTTGTCTAAACAGGCCCCTTTCCCCATGGCTTTTAGAGTAACGCTATTTTAAGAGATAATGGTGTAACTGCATTTTGTAAGCTTTCCAAGTAATCAGCAACTTTCTACTTCTCTGTAATGGGGTTTCTTATACAGTATATTGATGTTGACCTTGGTGTGAGCCACCTCCTGGGGGAATCCAATCAACCAGTCATTTTTCCCTACAGCCAACAACCTCCTCCCCGCTCTGCTGCTGCTGCTGCTGCCAGCCTTCCCTGCTGTGGTGGATGGGCCAGCAGGAGGAAGTCCTTCCATCCCCAGCCAGTGGAGCAGCCCCCCTCCTCTTAGAAGTAGATGCGGCAGCTGGAGGGGGGGGTTGTAAAGGAGGGGCCTTGCTTTAATGGCCTTAACAGGACTGCCTGAGGAGAGGGCCAAAGGGAACGCCTGCTTGCCTGCCGGAGACAAGGAATGGCCAGAGAATCAGCCAAGGGGTTCCCACGTTGGTCTCTCAGCATCCCTAATCCAGGCTTAAAATTCCCTTTCCTTTCTTTGGTCTTCTGGAAGGGATCTCCCACTTTTCCTCTTGTATTCTTCTCTTCTACTTCTTTGCACAGATGATTGTAATAGAGGTGGGTTTTTTTTTTGTTCTCTTTGTGATAGTTGCTGAAAATTTGCTTTCAGAATTCTCACCTTTCACTGTGGCAATTCAAGCTGTTTCTTCCGTCATCCAACCAGAGTTTTCTTTCCTTACTCTTTTGGCTTCCTGGCCTAATTCTACATAATGACAGTCTACAGAATTAGAGGACAGTCGATTCCTGTGCAGATCCAAGATACGTTTCTGTGCCCAATGGATGCAGTTAAATTCACAAGTTAGCAGGGGGTGGAGAGTGACATTGCTTGCAAAGGGCAGCTTCCCCGGGCAGCCTTGGTTCTCATTTAGTGAAGACAGTTTGGACAGAGGAGCAAGACCGTTCTTGTCCAATTAAGATATTTCACTCTGCTTGTTGCAAAATGTGTGGCTTCCGCTTTCATTTTCTCTACTCCCGAGGTGACAGAAACTGAAATACGTGTGCTTAGGCTTTAGGTAGCACAGCCTGTACCCATCTGGAGTGTTTTGCTTGGGAGAGAACATATGCACTGCGTGGCTCACACAAAAATAGGTTCTCCTGGTTTTTTTTCAATGGAATATTCCGAACAGGTCATAGAGACTTGGGGGCTCTCTTCAGTCTGGAGTGGATCTTTCTCAGGTGTGGAAGCAGCCGTGGCAGGTGGCTGAGGGTCTGGTGCTGGGAAAATCTCTGGTGCCTTCGAATGCAGCCCAAGGGTGGGGTGGGGTGGATGGGGAAAATCTCTCTCCCTTCCAGCTAGAGTCACACGTCCATCTTCTCCTTGGGTCAGGTGCCCCCCCACGCACTCCGCTTTGCTGTGCCCAGGGGCAGCAAAAGCAGGTAGGAATTGGGCCATGGTAGGGGCCAGAGAGAGGAGCTACTTTGGGGGGGGTGTTTCTCCTGTGAGACCCAGATTTTGATGGGGCCTTGAGTAGGACCTGGATGTTCCCCACCATGTTCAGGATGCTGGCCTGTTTTCTCACTCATGGTGTGTGCATGTGCACGAGATCTTTGGGCCCATGGGCTTTCCTTTCTCCGTGTTCGGTGCTGGTGCTGGTGGTGGTGGTGTGGGATGATTGGGGAGAGCTCGTATTCCGCCATGGAGGACTGGCCCCGGTGGCTCAGACTCAGAGGGAGCGGCTGTGAGCCCTGCTGGGCGTGACCTCCAAAAGCTGCCAGGAGCGGGTTCACCCTGTTGCACAATCTGCCCACACGGCAGCCCGCTCGGGCGAAGAACATGCTGCGGCCCGTTGGAGCCAGAGCAGACACGCCGTCTCCTGAAACAGGCTGCGAACCTGCATGTAAAAAATATTGGCCGAGATCATAATATGATGCTGCCGATTCTGATGTGCGCCAACCCTCCGAGGGTTTCTCTAGGTATCTCAGACTCGGAAGGGATTTAACCTTCCTTTCCCTTCTTCTGCCAGCTGACATGGACTGCAGACCGAACTTATTTACCTGTATGGTCAATACTGATGAACACAGGAGGGCTGCCCCGCTGCATCATGAGCTGCCAGGGCCTGCTCCGTATCCAGAGGCAGGGACCTCGTCTGGGGGCGCCGGGCCTCCTCTCGCCCTGCACGCTGCTTGTGGTGCCGCAGCCTGACCTGGCGCGGCGGGCGAGAGGATGGCCCCTGCTCTCCTGGCCACCCCGCCCCAGGACGGAAGCAGCTCCTCTCTCGCTCCAGAGGGCCGAATTTCCCTCGGGAGATTTCCCTCCAGCCTCCTGCTGCAGGACCTCTTTGTCGCCTTCTGTGGATAAGAGGCAGGAAAACCTGGTTTGCCTTCAGAGGGCAGGCGGAGATGGAGGCCGGGGGATTGGAAATGCTTGGATCCTGCTTTCTTCGAGGAGTCCCTTGGCCCCTCCTGGTTAATGCAGGCCTGGCACCCGCAGGATGAGTCCATAAACCCCAACCTGAAGGATGGCCCATGGTTTCTTGGTCCTGGGGTCCCTTGAGATATTTGGGTAGGGGTCTCGAGGCCCACTGAGTT